AGGGACGAAGGAAGGGGGAAAACGCCAGGAGAGACGGAACGAAGGGGGGGGCGGTTGATTAGAGGCAGAGAGAGAGAGAGAGAGAGAGAGAGAGAAAGAGAAAGAGAGAGAGAGAGAGAAAGAGAGAAAGAGAGAGACAGAGACAGAAAGAGAGGTATATACACGTAGCGACATATAAGAGAGGTAGAGAAAGAGAGAGAGAGGGGATATAGAGAAAGAAAGAGGGAGGGAGGATGCAGGAGAGGGGAGGGAGAAAGGAACAGGGAGAGGAGGGAGAGTGGATAGGGCAGCGAAGCACAAGGATGAGGGACGTGAGGAGGGAGAGAGAAAGGAGGAGAGGAGGGAGGAGGGAGGAGGGAGAGGGAGGAGGAGCAGGAAGGAAAGAGCGTGAACGTTCGAGGAAGTCCTAGGCGAACGCGCCGTTCCTGAAGGAAGCCTCGGGCGGGAGCCCACGACGGGCGGGCGATCCCCTGACGGGCGGGTCGGGCGGGTGGGACATTCAAGCGGGATGCCTGAGTCTGGCGAGGGCGCGATTACTAAGTAAATTGTAGCGGCGTCCTTGGCGCATCGTGTTTCCTGAGCGTCGAAAGCGCGATTTCTGAATACATTGCATGGGGTCACAAGCGAGAGCGCAATTCCTGAATCAAATGTGAAGGGTTCTCTGGCGGGAGCGGGGGTCTTGATTAAATTGCGAGGAAGTCGTGATTCAATTGCGAGGAAGTCTCAAGCGGGAGCGCCGTTCCTACGTAAATTGTGAGGGAGTCTCACATGGGAGCGGGGGTCCTGACTAAATTGCGACGAAGTCACAGGCGAGAGCACCGATCCTGAGTAAATTGCGAGGAAGTCTCAGGAGGGGGGTCCTGAGCAAATTTGGAGGAAGTCTCAGGCGGGAGCCGTTGTTGTTGTAATCCGGGGGGCCAGGGGCCCAGTTTGAGCACCAAGATGGTGCGAGCGTCGAAGGGCACATTTTGATTGAGAAAAAGCAGCATGCACCGGTGAGGGGGGATCAGCAAGAATTATTCTTCATAAATGAAAATTCATCAACAACAACAACGGTTCCCGCCTGACACTTCCTCGCGATGTATTTCCAAATCGTGCTCTCGCGCGGGACTTCCTCAAGTGTATGCAGGAATTGCGCTCTCGCTTGGGGCTTCGCGTTTTTGTTAAAATACCGCGCCTTCGACGCTCAGGAATTGCGCTTTCGTTTGGGTTTTTCCAGCGAATTTGTTGGACATCGCTCTGCCGCTCGAGCTCTCCTCGCGATTCATCCAGTACTGACGTTTCAGCAGCCCGCCTTCTCGACCTGGCCGCTTGGGCCCGCCTTCCTCTCCGCCCGTTAGGGTCTACCCGCCCAATGGTCCCGTCTGTCTGCCATGTGTTTTCTGTTCCTAGCCCCCGTTCTGGTAATGCCGTGCTCCATCCTTCTTCCTCCCTGTTCCATCCGTCGTGTCTTGCCTTGTTTTAGGGGCTGAGCTAAATGCTCGTGGCAGGTAAGGAAGATATACCTTCAAGGCGGTACTATCCAAGACGAAGAGGGATGGTACCGAGGTCTTGAAATATACGTGTTGAGTGGCATGCGAGCGGGTAAGAGCGATCAGTCTTAACCTGAAGCTTGTTGATTTTGTTTGTTCTTGTTGTTGTTCTTGTTGTTGTTGTTGTTGTTGAACATTATTACTTCTAAAGAAATATTATTGTTGAGACCCCTGGTGCGCGACCCCCCTCCAAAACCTAGGCCGCAGCCTCATTTCCTTCATTTTCTAGCGAAAGCTTCAGAAAAGTGGATTGTGTCCGGATCCGGTTGTTTTGTTGTAATCCGTTTTCCCTTGCAAAAAACACTATAAAATGAAAATTCTTGTTCTTACTTGATCAAATTGCAAGAATCCCTTGCAAAAAATAAGGTAAAGTGGACATTCGTGCGCGCAAGACGAAATCCTTCCAAAACCTTAGGTTTCGTAACGATTTTAACATAAAAACATCAAAAACCCAATGGTTTTTTAAGAAAAAATGTCAAAATTTCATCCCGCGCGCGCTGTCCGAATCCTACAAAACCAGTGGTTTTTCAACATTTATGTTACATGAGCTCGCGCGAGCTACTTTTTCTTGTTCTAACATAATCAAATTTCAATAATCCCTTGCAAAAAATAAGGTAAAGTGGACATTCGCGCGCGCAAGACGAAATCCTTCCAGAACCTTAGGTTTCGTAACGATTTCAACATAAAAACATCAAAAACCCAATGGTTTTTCAAAAAAAATGTCAAAATTTCATCCCGTGCGCGCTGTCCGACTCCCACAAAACCAATGGTTTTTCAACATTTATGTTACATGAGCTCGCGCGAGCTACTTTTTCTTGTTCTAACATAATCAAATTTCAATAATCCCTTGCAAAAAAAATGTAAAGTGGACATTCGCGCGCGCAAGACCAACAAAAAACACGACGATCTCAGGAACTTGCCCCAAAAATGTGACCAACTCCGCTCTCTCTGTCTCTCTCTCTGTCTGCTCTCTGTCTCTCTCTCTGTCTGTCTGTGTCATGTATTGTATGTCACAATTGCAGGATGCTGGGCACACGCGCGCCCCGAATAAGTGACCAAGTTCTGTGGGTGTGTACCCCACGCCAGTGTAGTAGCCACGGTCGTCCGCACGCCACGAAGTGAAGTGTCCCAACGTCATAGGGCGGGAAGCTGGGTTTGGGTGGTCGCGAAGAGTCGTTTGGATATTTGGTAGAGCTTGAACTGCCCCCCCACGAAGTGGGGGTATTGTCTCGCGTCGCATGAAAACCCTGGCACTGGTGAGAACACTGAGCGTTCGGGTAAAATGATTGTTGTTGTTGTTGTTGTTGTTGAGTTCTCGCTCATGAAGAACAATTATTGTTAATCCCCCCTCTGGGGCACATGGTTTTTCAATTGCATTGCCCGTCCCGGGGCTCGCACCCAGTTTTTTATCGTGGAAAATTGTTTGTTCTCCGAATTGTGTCTTTGGCCCGCGGTTGACAACAACAACGGCTCCCGCCTGATACGTCCTCACAATTTATTCCCAAATCGCGCTCTCGCGACGGACTTCCTCACACTTTATGCAGAAATCGCGCTCGCGCGTGGAATTTCTCGCAATTTATTCAAACGTCGCGCCTCCAACCCTTAGGGGTCGCGCTGTCGCTCGGGCTTCCGTCAGGATTTACTTGGGAATCGCGCTATCGCGCGAGACTCCCTTGTGATTCATGTTCACGTTTCGGCAACACGCCTGCTCGACCTAGCCTCCTGGCCCCGCCTTCCCCTCCCGCCCGTTACGGTCTACCCGCCCGATCTGCCCGTCTGGTTCTGCCACGTGTTTGCTGCTCCTAGGGGCTCCCGCCTGATACGTCCTCACAGTTAATTCCAACGTCGCGTTTGCGCGGATTTCTTTTCAATTTCTGCTGGAATCGCGCTCTCGCGTGGGACTTTTTCGCAATTTATTCAAGCGCCGTGGCCTCGAGACCCAGGAATCACGCTCTCGTTTTGGCTTTGGTTTTTCTCACGATGTGTTTGGAAATCGCGGTATCGCTCGAGCTCTTCTCGCCATTCATGCAGCATTCACGCTTCAGCAACACGCCTTCTCGACCTGGCCGCCTGGGCCCACCTTCCCGAACCGCCCGTTAGGGTCTACCCGCCCCATGGTCCCGTCTGGTTCTGCCACGTGTTTTCTGCTCTTGGCCCCCGTTCCGGTAATCCCGTGCTCAAGCCCTCTTCCTCCCCTTTCCATCCGTCTTCTCTTTTCCTGTATCAGGGGCTGCACCAGCTACGCGTGGCAGGTAAGGAAGATATGCCCCCAGAGGGGGTACGATCGAAAACGAAGAGGGCTGGTACCGAGGGTTTGAGATATACGTGTTGGATGGCATGCGACCAGGTAGGAACGAACAGTCTTAAAATTATTGTAGTTGTTGCTGTTGCTGCTGCTGCTGCTGCTGCTGTTGTTGTTGTTGTTGTTGTTGTTGTTGTTGTTGTTGTTGTTGTTGTTGTTGTTGTTGTTGTTGTTGTTGTTGTTGTTGTTGTTTGTTGTTTGTTGTTCTTGTTGTTGTTGTTGTTGTTGTTGTTGTTGTTGTTGTTGTTGTTGTTGTTTTTGTTGTTGTTGTTGTTGTTGTTCTTGTTCTTGTTGTAATTATAAGTGGTGTTTTTTCTTCTGTTGCTGCTGCGGTCGATTTTTAACTTTCGAAGAATAACAATTGTTGGATCCCCCTCAACGGTGCACATTTTGGCTTTTCCATTGAAGGGCGCCTTTCGCGGCTCGTTTTTTTCCTCACAGCGTATTCCGAAATCGCGCTCTCTCGCGGGGCTTCCTCAGAAGTAATTGCAGGATTCACGCTCTCAGGCGGAGACAATTCATTCAGACAGCGTTTTCGACACACAGGAATGACGCTCTCGCTTTGGCCTTTCTCACGATTTAGCTGGGAATCGCGCTATCGCTCGAGCTCTCCTCGGGATTCATGCAGGACGCACGCGTCAGCAACCCGCCTTCTCGACCTGGCCGCCTCGGCCCGCCTTCCCGAGCCGCCCGCCAGGGTCTGCCTGCCCGATCAGCCCGTCTGGTTCTGCCACGTGTTTTCTGCTTTTAGCCCCCTTCCTGCCAATCTACCTAGTGCTCCATCCTTCTTCCTCTCACTTTCATCCGTCCTCTTGTCCCTTGTTTTAGGGGCTGCACTAATGCACGTGGCAGGTAGGGAAGGTATACCCCCAACGGGGACGATCGAGGATGGAACCAGAACCTGATGCTCTTGTATTCTGGACGCGCAGTGCACGTGGTCCGCCCTGCGTGTGTGCACGGTGCAGTTTGCGTGAGCAGCGCCCGCAGGGCACCAGCCATAGAGCGCCGCTCATAGGGCACCAGCCACGGAGCACCACCGATCGGGCACCAAGGCCAGAACGAGACGTCGCAACCATCCAGGCATCACAGGGCACCTGCCCTACAGCGCCACCCCTGGCCCCGCTTGGACGCCCCCCCTGGGACGTTCCGTCTGGTGCCCCCCCGAGGTCCGACGGCGCGGTGCGCCCCAGCGGCCGCAATCCGCCGCTCGCGCGCGCGCGCCGTCAGGCGGGCCGGCGCGGCCCTGGCGTCGGCTCGGCCCGGCGGTGCGCCGGAGGGGAGGGGGTCTCTTCGTCTTTCGGGGCTCGGGGGGGTTGGGGTCAATGCAAGCGGGGGTCAGCCAGAGCGCCGGATTTTGCAGGATCCTGCAGAGCCAGGGTCGCATTGACCTGGGCTTGGGCGCAGGATCCTGCAGGATCCCGCAGGATCCTCCAGGATTCTGCAGGATCCTGCAAGGCCCGACTAACCCATGTTTGCACTGACCTGGGTCAGTGCGTCCCCGAAGGGGGTTTTCGTCTTCGCTCGTCAGGGGCAGCGCTGCTCTGGATGGGGGTATGATCGAGGGGGTGGGGGTGATTGATCGATTAGGTGGGCACCTGGACCGTCTCCAAAACGAGCATCCAACTGTCCCCCCTTACTCTGGATGAGACCATATTCGCCCCCCCCACCTTAGATCCGCGGGGGGGATTGGGCGCGTACTGTCGGAACGGGTGCAAGGGGAGCTGCCTCGAGTTCGACTCCAGGTCGGCTCAAGTTCGACTCAAGCTCGGCTCAAGGCGACGGACGTTCCACGCAGCATCGACGCGTGAGTGGAACGAGGGGCCCAAGGAAGGTCTCCTGAACGCGCATCGAAGGACAGTCTCAGGGGCTGATGCGTCGACCCCTGACCGCCGTCCCTCGCCGATAGGGGCCCGATAGCCCACCCTGCCCAGGAACGTTGGGATTCGCTATCCAAGGCCCATCGCCGTCGCCAGCCAGGGTCGGGGAGCTGGTTTCGGTCCTGCACGCCGGGGGCTTTCCTCGATACATTGGCGCGCTGATTCGCTATCCCCCACCTTTCGTCCGACCCGACTGGGCGAGAGTCGGGGCTTCGCAGAGGAGGGGTTCGCCCAAGGCGAGGTTGGGGAACGAACCCAGCTGGGCGCTCACAGTTGCTTCTTCCAGGGAAAGCGATTCTCTTCTCACCCCACCTCTGCCCCACACCTTTACGTCCCCCCAAAAGAGCTGGACATATCGGGGCGCATGCTTCGGAGGTTTTCGGGAGCCCAGGGCGCTTTTCGTCAGCTGCGCCTCGTCGGTGGGTGTCTGGGGATGCTGGAGCCGTCCCGGCCGCCTGGGAGGGCGGTTGGCCCGCGGAGGCGAAGGCCCAAACAATGTGGTTGTATTGCATGCGCGCGTCGTTCGCCCGCTGCGATCTGGAGCAAACGTGCAATTAACCGCTCGGCAACACGCAGCCTGTCTCTAAGACAAATGAATCAAGCGCATGCGATCTTATGTCTCGATGCATGAATTATGCATGTCGCGGCGTGGCAATAGTTCTGCGGCAAGGCGAGACAGAGCAGGCAGATGTCGCGTCCGGCGGCGCTGCGGCGACGGAAAAGGAATGACGAATTGTTTTGTCGTTGCCTGAGGGCGCGGGCTGGGGGCGACGAAGAACGGGAACACTTTTTGGTTGTTCGTTGTCTTGGCGGGCTGCCCTACGAGATTCCCAGCTTGACCGCGGTGCTCGCTGCGAAAATCATGACGGCTTTTCCAAAATAAGCATTGGCTTCCGAATCTCGGAAGCCGGGCAAGGGCTGCTAAATCCGTGGCTGCTAAAATCGACTTCCGGGAAGTTGTCTTCGTCCTTCCGGGAAGAAGCCCGTTGACTGTTTCGCGTGCCGCGCCTCATTCCGGGAAGTTGTTTTTTCCTTCCGGGAGGGCCGCTTTAGCAGCCACGGTTTTAGCAGCCCTCGCCCAGCTTCCCAGAATCAGTTTGCCGATCCATCGGCGGTGTATCGCCGACCTTGGCTGGGTGCCTGCCCTCCGAGCCAGAGTCCCCCCCCGTATACGTCCCCTCGGCCGACCCACGGCACGCCTTCGCCCCCAGGCTCGACCCTCCCTGTAGAACGTTTTTTTTTTTTTTTTTTTTTTTTTTTTTTTTTTTTTTTTTTTTTTTTTTTTTTTTTTTTTTTTTTTTTTTTCTCTTGTTCACAGCGTGGAGCCCCAGAAGTTTCGACCCCTTCCCAGGATGGGCGCTGCGTAATAGGCAAGGCAGGACAAGAACGCGGTGCATCTGTTCAGGACGCGTGGGCAGAACGCGCAAGTAAAAAGCTGCTGGAGCCGCAGCTGTGGCGCCTCCTGGGAGGAGGAGGAGACAGGAGGAGAAGAGGTGTGCACAAAAGGCTTCAGACACTCACAGCATGGAGCTTGTGTACGGGTTGCGTGATGGGGGGGGGCGATCGATGGAGGTGGTTAGGAAAGGTGCATCTTTTGTGCCATAAAGGGGCCCCCTGGGGCCCCCCTGGGGCCCAAGAGGTGCACGCCCCCCCCCCCTCCGCTCGGCCTAGCACGTTCGTTCTCTCCCGAGTTGCTTCTTCACGTCCCCGGGGTCCGTCGAGGGCCTCCAGATGCCATAAGCGATGGCAGAAGCTGGACGTCAAGCCCTCAGAGCCCTCGATCTTCGAAGCTCGAGCCTCGATCCTGATTCCCCCCTCTCCCTCTCCGAAGTTCGCTCAGGATCGGTCCCCAGTTTGCCGCCTCGGATCGACTTCTGACGGCCCCAAGGCTCTGACCAGGGCCCCCAGAGAGCGGCGAAGGACGCGTATTAGCCCAGTGCGTGTTTACCCCGTTCAAAATGCCACACGCTGGAGCGCATTGCCTCTGCCTCGCCGCCGACGAGAAAAAGAGTGCTTACCCCATCCAGCTCCGCCGATAGGCACGCAGCCCGTGTCGGCCCGCATCGCCCACGCCGCCCGCGTCGGACTGAGGGGCCTCGGTGGACGAACACGTGCTGGCGCTAACACTCGTCCCCTGAGGATCTTCGGCTTCTTCGCACCTCTCCGACCCTCGGTCCTCGACGTGCTTAGTGGAAGTCGAATGGAGAGGAAGCATGCTGCCACACAATTTCCTGATGCCTAACGTATGTTCCGCATTTGTTTTGCATTCACGTAAAAACAGGTGTGACACATTTTTAGAGCATGGTTTACGCAGTATATTCGCATCTTTAATTCAATGATCGGATTGTTCGAGTGTCCACTGTCATAGCATCCACAAGACGTGCTGGTCTCGGCACCCCCAGGCATACTCCTGCGACGCGTGCGTCGGCCCCGCAGGGGGGCGACGCACGCGCTCCGAAACATCTCTTTCCAGCACAGGCTTGGGTGGGTGGGCGCTTTCTGGGCATGCCGCCTGGGCAACGAGATGCAAAAACGTGTCCCTTGGTATCGCTCGGACGTGTGCACCTTTTCTCGGCGGGGATTATCAAGGAACATCCTGGGCCATCCCGCGAACAAAAACACGCACGAAACCGAAAAGAGCACGGGGAATGGACGTCCGAGCGATGGCCAGTGTCTTGTGCTGTATGTTCGACGTGTGCCTCCACGTGGGGCGCATGCGGGTCAGGGCGCTCGTGAAGGGGGTGTGCCCAGGAGGCCTCGGACCGTCTGCTCGGGGCGGGGGGATTGACACCCACGGCCCCGCCTCGATGGGCGTTTGCCACCAGTTCTCGGACCCTGGGCTCCTCATCCAAGGGGGTTCTTTGCCCAACTCCCTCACCATTCGTTCGTTGTCGTTTTTTGTGCAAGGGAGCCTGCTTCCGCAGCCCAGAGGAGATAAAACAACGCCCTCACCATATCGTACGCTTATGCCGCGTGTTCGGTTCGGACGTGTGCCTCTAATCAAGGGCTAGAAAAACGCCCCTACCCTGGTTTGCGAGGCGCTGTGCGCTGAACCTCCTGTGGGCCGACAGGATAAGCCCTGCGCATCGCGCGTGTCGTGCGGCTCACTGGCGGCTCTCTGGCCTCCTGGGAGCTCGCAGGAGGCTTACTGACCACGCACTTGTAACCGGGGGTAGGGGCGTTTTTTAGGGCGACGAGATCTATACATATCCACTGCTCCTGGCCAGGCCCATCCTGGGCCCAGGAGCTGTGTATATGCCTCCCTGGCCAGGCCAGGAGGGCGTATACACCGCTCCTGGGCCCAGGATTGGCCTGGCCAGGAGCAGTGGATATGCATAGATCTCGTCGCCCTATTTTTGCATCCCTCAGTCTAAGTGGGGCGCAAAGTGCCAGCATGCCCTGCTGCGTCCCGCGGTCCTCCCCCCGCCGCCCCCCGGCCTCGCCGGGGGGGCCGCGGAGGCTCTCGCGGCGCGCCCCACACGCCGTGCTGGGCGTCCCCGCGAGCGCCAGCGTGCGGGCCATCAAGGCCCAGTGGTCGCGCTGCCCCGCCTCGAAGGGGCAGGAGCAGGAGGAGGAGGAGGAGGAGGAGGAGGAGGAGGAGGAGGAGGAGGAGGAGGAGGAGGAGGAGGAGGAGGAGGAGGAGGAGGAGGAGGAGAGGGAGGAGGAGGAGGAGGAGGAGGAGGAGGAGGAGGAGGAGGAGGAGGAGGAGGAGGAGGAGGAGGAGGAGGAGGAGGAGGAGGCGGAGGCGGAGGATGAGGAGGAGGAGGAGGAGGAGGAGGAGGAGGAGGAGGAGGAGGGGGGAAGGGAGGGGGGGGGAGTAGTTGGGGAGGATGAGGGGTGGAGGAGGATGAGGGGGCCTCGCCAGGGGGTGGGGCCCAGAGAGTTTTTCGTCCGCCAGGCAGGTGGCGTCCCCGCAGGGAGTGATCGCGAGGGGCGTGAGCTGCCGCTGGCATTCCACCGGGCGTTGCCGACCCCCGCCCCGAAGGGGCAGGCAGGGCGCCGCCCACGAGCCGATTCGGTGCGCTTCGATTCGCTGGCCGGGGCCGCGACTCTGATTTCGATTCGATTCGGTCCGATCCTCGGCCACGCGCAGAGGGGTGGGAATGGGGGAGGGGGGACGGCTTCTTAGAAGGAGGCTGCTTCTCAGACGGCGCTGGCCTTACATCTACAGACGAGGCCCGCGCCTTCTGAGAAGCAGGGGTGCTTCTCAGAAGCCTTCCCCCCTCCCTCTCCCCCCCTCTCCCCCTCTCCGCGCAGCCAAGATTCACCAGCATCGGCCGGGGACAGCCGGAGCGGGGCGCGGCGATCCGATGTCGACTCGATTCGGGGCGATCCGCTGGCGATCCGATCCGTGTCCGATCCGATCCGATCTCGCGATTCGATCCAGCTCTGGCCTGGCAGGGAGGGGGTGGCTTAAATCGGGCCTGTCCCTCTACAGGAGGAATATTCAAAAATAGTAGAAACAGATTCTGGAGACGATATTTTGACAATTTTTGCCCATTTTGGGAGGTATTTGTTTAAAGTATTTTGTTTTTTGTCGCCCAAAATTCCCCTGTAGGGGAATGGAGATCAGCCGCGTGAGCCGAGGGCCGGCGGTCGAGGCTCTCGAAGTTTTTCGGGAGGTCAGCGGGGCCCGAGGCAGTCTCCGCCAGCTGCGCCCAGCCGAGGGATGTCCAGGGATGCCAGGGTTGCCGCACGGCCGACTCGTCCGCCCAGATGTTCCTTCAGTGCGTTGGAGGTCTGTGTTTCTATGAATGGAAAGTTGTGGAAGTCGATTCACTGGAGAGGAAGTATGCTGCCAAATAATTCCAGATGCCTGACAGATGTTTCAAACATGTTTAAAACATATAAAAACATGCTTGAAACATTTTTAGAACACGTTCTACACATTTTAAACACATCTTTAATTCGATGATGGGATTGGTAGAGTGTCCATTGTCATGGCATCCACAAGAATAAAGCCCCTGGAGGCCTCTGGAGGCCTCCAGAGGCCCCCAAAGGCTAAACGCCGTCAAAAGCGAGGCTTCTCGAAGGACGCGCCCAAGCTTTCGGAGCTCCACGCTCCACGCGGAGTTCCTAGATCGGCGCGGGGCGCCTCCCGGCGAAGCCTCCCGACGCCGCCCCTGGCGCCGTCTGCGCGCGCCAGGGAAGGGGGTTCAGCGTAGATCCAAGCGTGCCGCGCGAAGCTCCGAAAGTCTAGGTTGATGCAGGTCTCTCTTCCAGGCTCCTCCGCCTCTTTACTACCACCGTGATTTGTTCGCACGAGGCCGTGCTGCTGGTGACTCAGCAGGGGGCCGCACTGCGCCCCGCTGGGCTCGCGCACAGCTCGAGTTCGCGACGCCTCGGGTTCGATTTGTCAAGCTCGGCCGCCGTGCCCCAGCGTGAGGTATCATCTCGGCCCCTGGGCCGGCCTTTTGAGCCGCAAGGCCTTCGCCCTCCTCCCCTCCCTCCTCTTCCTCGCGACTTTGGCTCCCCGTCTCCGGTGGTAGAGTTTAACCATGCGGCTCGAGAAGGTGGTTCGGGGCGCCACGCTCTTCGAGCTCCCCGGGGAGGAGGGCCAAGCGCCCTCCCTCTGCGCCCGTCGTGGCGACCGGTGGATGTCCCCGGTGCAGTCTTCCAGTCCTCCTCCTTGCAGTGCTCCTTTTGCGGGGCAAGGGGGCTCGGAAGGGCCTGCGTCCGGCTTGGCCCCCTGCGGCCTTGAGATCCTGGCGCCTCACACAATTTCGCCACGGCCTGCCCTTCTCTCTGCTCGGCCTCCAGAGGCCGCTTCTCGACGACGCGTGAGAGTGACCCTCCGCTGGAGTGACCTCTGGTGCGGGTCCGTTGGGGTCCCCCGATCGCCGGACGCGATGCGATAGTAGCGCCTTGCGCGTTTGGGTTTGGTCCCCCCGCGGCTCCCCCCCCGAAAGCCGCGCGCCAAAAGGTCACTTTTTCCCAGGGTCACTCTTGCGTGTAGCCGTGCTTCCTCACCCCCGTGCAAAAAAGACGGCTTGGGATGAAAAACCGGCCCCTGGGATGAGGTCGAGATCCCTGGAGGCCGACGTCGCCAAAAAAGTGCGTCGTCGGAGGAGCGCAGCGATCAGCTGAGTCAGGGGCGACCTATAGTTAAAGGGGGAGACAGGCAGAAAGCCCTGCCAGGCACACGAAATGACGGTGGCGGGACGTCAGGAGCAGGCAGCTCGGCACGGGCTGGCTTCGCCAGCGCTGGTTTCGCGGGCGTTGGTTTGGCCAGGGGCTGGTTTCGCTGGCGGCTGGTTCCGCCGAGGGCTGGTTTTGCCGACGGCTGGTTTTGCCAGGGCTGGTTTCGCCGGCGGCTGGTTTCGCCGGCGGCTGATTTCGCCGACGGCTGGTTTTGCTGGGGCGCTGGTCGGCGTCGTCGTCGTCTTCGGCGTTGCGTCGTCGTCGTCGTCGTCGTCGTCGCCGTCGTCGTCGTCGTCGTCGTCGTCGTCGTCGTCGTCGTCGTCGTCGTCGTCGTCGTTTGTCGTCGTCGTTCGTCGTCTTCGTCGTCATCGTTCGCCGTCGTCGTCGTCTTTCGTCGTTCGTCTTCGTCGTCGTTCGCCGTCGTCGTCGTTCGTCGTCGTCGTTCGCCGTCGTCGTCGTCTTTGTCGTCGTTCGTCGTCGTCGTCGTTCGCCGTCGTCGTCGTTCGTCGTCGTCGTCGTTCGCCGTCGTCGTCGTTCGTCGTCGTCGTTCGCCGTCGTCGTCGTCTTTGTCGTCGTTCGCCGTCGTCGTCGTCGTTCGCCGTCGTCGTCGTTCGTCGTCGTCGTCGTCGTCGTCGTCGTCGCTTTCCACCCAGGCGTCGTCGGCGGAGGACGGGGGTGGCCGCCCCGCGGGCTGCTCCCCGCGCAGGCGGCCTTCCGCGCCCGTGCCAAGGAGTGCCACCCCGACTCCAACCCGTCGCCCGAGGCCCCGCGCCGCGCGAGCCTCGGCCCAGGGCCCGCAGGCGGTCGAGGAAAAAGCAAACGACCCCCCCCCCATCCCCGATGCATTGCCAATGCGGCTCGATGTGGAGACAGTTCTTTCCTGAGCCGACGTCGCCGGTGCATCGGCGGTGCGGGGTGATCCTTCGACCCCGTCTTCTCGGACCCCACCTGGGAGGCCTCCACTCCTACACCCCCTTCCTTTTTCCTCCTTCGATCCGCGAGCCCTGGACCAGACCCGTTTTAGGTCCGGTGTCCACTGGTGCGGTTTAGGTCTCGTGTCCGCCGCCACGACAGAGGGGGTACCCATCAAGGAGGAATTCCTCAGCACCTGGGTGGGAGCCGTCAGACCACCAAGGTGCCAGCGATGGGGCAGCCTCCCTAACAAAAGAGACAGGCATGCAGGGGGGAGGTGATGGTTCTTGCAGTATCTCTTGGGGGCTGTTCGGGGGTTTGTTTAGGGCCTCTTGGGCTCTCTCGAATGCATTTGTTATCGAAGGCCTCTCGGGGGCTTGTTGGGGGTCTCGGGGCCGTCTTGGGCGCAATGGTTCTACCGAGCTCCCCCGAAGAGGCTCGGTTGAGCCATCATGTGGCTGTTCGGGACGTCTTGGAGCCTCATGGGATGGTCTTGGGCCGCCTTGGGAGGTTCTCGGGACGCCTCGGGGCCGCCCCTCTCGGGCCTGTCTTGGGGGCCTTCTTGGGGCTCTCTGAAGCCTTCCCGATGCCATCTGAATGCACAAGGGATTCGTCAGCAATGAGCAATATTTTCGGATGACTTTCATTGCGCTTGGACCCCCGGGCCCTCGCTGGAGGCCTTCCTGGCCACCTCTTCGGGGCCTCGTGGGGCGTCTTGGCCTCTCTGGAGACATCTTTGGGGCCAGATGGGGGCCCTCGACCCCGCCCAGGCTGGCACCCTGGCCCTCCGGTCAGGCTCCGAGGCCATCGTGCAGCTCCGTGGCTTCCGCTCGAGGGCTCCGCTTCGGCCTCGCCGTGAGGGGCGCAGTCTCGCTTTTCCCTGGCCCTCCCCTCAGCTGGTCTGTGTGCGAGCCCACGCCATGCTCGTCCTTGGAGGCTCCCGCCTTCAACCTGAGCCCCAGGAGGTCCCAAGGGGTTCCCTGAGGTCCCCACAGGCTGGAGGCTTCCGTGGAGGGCCAAAAAGGACCCACAATTTTCAAGGCCTCGATCCTCGTTCCCTCCCCCCCTCCTCCCTCCCGCTGCCTCCCGCCCTGCCACCTCCCACCTCTCGCCCATGCTGAGGCTTTTTTTTGCCCGCCGTGGTGTTGCCAGCCCGGGCTCTGATGTTGCGCTCTTTCTTCGTTTTGGCGGCGTACTTGTTTCTCTGTTTGTCTGCTTGTCTGTTGGCCTGTCCGTGCTTCTGACCCAGCGCGCGCCCCAGACAACCCGAGGGGCAAGCGAAGCGACGGGTAGCATTTCTGCGCCCGCCGCTCTGTCTCGCCCCGAGACGCGCTCCAGGCAGCCCATCGAGGCTGCCCCGCCACTCGGCAGCAGCCCTGCGCCCGTCGCCCTGTCAGGCCCAGAGAGCGCCCCAAGGGAGGCAGAGGGGCGAGCGAGGCGACGGGTGTAAATTCTGCACCCGCTGCCCCGTCCAACAAACGGCCCAGACGGGGCCAAGGTGGCGGACAGCATGCCCCATCCGGGGGCGAGGACGAAACGCACCTGGCGATTCGAACCCACGTCGCCCTGAATATGAAAGATCATTCCGACCACTATGCCACAAGGCACTTATGTATTGCAACTGGCGTGGCGCACGTCGGGCGTATAGTCGCCATGTAATGGGCGGTGGGTTGCATTTGGGCGTCCAGAGCGCGGTTCGAAGAGCCCAAGGGTCAGGGCTCGAACAGCCCACGGGGCGAGCCAGGCGACGGGTAGCATTTTGGCGCCCGTCGCCCCATTTCGCCCAGGACGTGGTTCAAAGAACGGAGCGGGAGACCGCGGCGGCGGGCGGCATTTTTCGCCAGTCACCTTGCCTCGCCAAGAGCGCATCCCAAACAGCCCCAGGGGGCGAGGGAGGCGGCGGTCTGCATTTTCGCGCTCGCCACCCTGTCTCGCCCAAACTGCGCCCTGACCAGCGAAGGCGGCGGGTAACATTTCCGCGCCCGTTGCCCTGACCGGCTTATGAAATTGCCAATTCCCGCCCTCCCAGGGGCGAGGAAGATGCGCGCCCAGAGGTATGAACCGGCGCTGCGTGCCGGAATGCCTTCACTTACGTGGCGTTGCGCACACCATGCAGAAAGTCGCCATCGAATGGAAGGTGGGCAACATTTTGGCGCCAAGGCGCGCCTTAGAGAGTTCAAGAGGCGGGCCTCTAACGGCCCAAGGGGCGAGCCAGGCGACGGGCAGCATTTCGCGCCTGTCGCCCCATTTCGCACGGGACGCGGTTCAAAGAGCGGAGCGGGCGACCGCGGCGGCAGGCAACATTTTGCGTCCGCCATTTTGTCTCTCCCAAGGCGCATCCCAAACAGCCCTGGGGGGCGAGCGAGGCGGCGGTCTGCATGTTTGCGCCCGCCACCTCGTCTCGCCCAAAGCGCCCGGGCAAAAGGCAACATTTCCGCGCCCTTTGCCTTGTCTTGCTCGTGAATTTGCGAATCCTCGCCCTCCCAGGGGCGAGGAAAAAACGCGGCCTGTGGTTTGAACCCGCGCTTCGCTGCATGTGAGACATCATTCTGTTGAGCATGCCACAAGGCGCATCCGCATTCCAAGTGGCGCTGCAGATCCGATCCGTCAAGCGGCCACAACATGGGGGACGGGCAGCACTTGGGCGCCCAGAGCGCGCCCTGAAGAGCTCAAGAGGCGGGCCTCGAACAGCCCGAGGCGGCGAGCCAGGCGGCGGGCAGCATTGTGCACCCGTCGCCCCGTTTCACCCTGATCGCGCCTCGAAGAGCGGAACGGGCGAGTGCGGCGGCGGGCAACATTTTTGCGCTCGTCATTTTGCCTCGACCAAGGCGCGCCCAGGGCAGCCCGGCCGGGCTGCGGCGGGCGCGCGTCGGGCGGACCAGGGCGACGGGCGCAAAAATGCATCCCGCTGCCCCGCTTGCCCCGCGCAACACAGCGCGGCCGCCCCAGGCCGAGGCGCAGGGCGGCGTGCGCAAAAATGCAGCTCGCCGCCGCCCTCGCCACAGGCAGCCCAGCTGGGCTGCCTGGGGCGCTCTCTGGACGGGGCAGGGCGACGGGCGCGACATGGCGACCACGGTGCCGCCCGTCGCATCGCTCGCCCCATGCAGCCCAGCTGCGCTGCCAGGGGCGCGCTGTGGGCGAGACAAGTGGCCGGCGCAACAGGGTGTCGGGCGCAAAACTGCAGCCCGCCCCGCCCCGTTCGCGCAAGGCAGCCCATCCGATCTGCCAGGGGCGCGCCTTGGGCGAGACAGAGCGACGGGCGCAATAGTGCAGCTCGCTACCGCTCGCCCCAGGCGGCCTGGCTGTGCTGCCAGGGGGTCGCTTTGAGGGGGGGCAGCTCGGCGGCCGCGCCGGGGCGCCCGATGGCCGTGACCATGCAGCCCGCCGCCGCGCTCGCCCCAGGCAGTTTAGCGGGCGTGACGGGGCGATTCGCCCCAGGCAGCCCAGCTGGGCTGACAGGGGCGCGCTCTGGGCGAGACAGGGCGGCGGGCGCAACAGGGCGACGGGCGTAAAAATGAAGGCCGCCGCTTCGTTTGCCCCAGGCAGCGCAGGTGGGTGTCCAGGGGCTCCGGGCGAGACATGGCGACGGGTGCCGCATGGCGACGAGCGCAAACGTGTCATCCGCCGCTCCGCCCGCCCTAGCAGGGCGACGGGCGCAACGGGCGGAGGCAAACATGCAGCCCGCCGCGTCGCTCGCCCCAGGCGGCCCAGCTGGGCTGCCAGGGGCGCGTCCTGGGCTCATCTGGGCGACGGGCGCGTAAAGGTCGCCCGCCGCTTTGGTCGCCCCGGGCAGCGCGGCTGGGCTGCCAAGGGCGCTCTCTGGGCGAGACAGGGCGACGGCCCTCGATGGCGACGCGCGCGCAAATGCCGCCCGCCGCCCCGCCCGCCCCAGGCTGGGCCCCCAGTGGCGCGCGCTGGGCGCGACGGGGTGACGGGGGCAAAAGGCCGGGTGCGCTCCGCCCGCCCTGGGCAGCCCAGCTGGGCGCCATGGGCGCGCTTTGGGCGCGACATGGGGACTGGCGAAAAAATGCGGCCCGCCGCCCCGCCCGCCCCAGGCGGCACAGCTGGGCTCGCGCTCTGGCCGATGCAGTGCGACGGGCGCAACCGTGCTGCCGGCCGCCTCGTTCGCTCCAGGCAGCCCAGCTGGGCGCAACGGGGCGACGGCTCAAAAATGACGCCCGCCGCCCGGCTCGGTCCGGGCAGCCCAGTTGGGCCGTCAGGGGCGCGCTCTGGGCGAGACAAGGCGACGGGCGCAAGGGGGCGACGGGTGCAAACATGCAGCCCGCCGCTTTGCTCGCCCCGGGCAACCCAGCTGGGCTGCCAGGGTCGCGCCCTGGGCGCAGCATGGCGATGTGCGCAACAGTGCCACCCGCCGCTGCGCTCGCCCCGGGCAGCCCAGCTGCGCAACGTGGCGACGAATGCCGCCCGCCGCCCTGCCCGCCCCGCGGCGACGGGCGCAGCGGTGCCGCCCGCCGCCCCGCTTGCCCCGGGCAGCCCAGCTGGGTTGGTAGGGGCGTGCACTTGGCGAGACAGGGTGACGGCCGCAACCGGGCGACGGCTGCAAAAATGCAGCTCGCCGTCCCGCCCGCCCTGGGCAGCCCAGCCGAGCTGCCGAGCTGCCGGGGGCGCGCTCTGGGCGAGACTGGGCGGCGGGCGCCATCGGGCGACGGGCGCAAAAATGACGCCCGCCGCCCCGCTCGCACCAGGCAGCCCTGGCGGGCTGGGGCGCAAAGATACCGCCCGCCGCCTTGCTGGCCTCGCGCAGCGCAGCGCGGCCCACTTGGCCGCCCCAGGCCGCGCCCCCATCGGCGCGCCCCTCGTGCAAGTCGTGGCCCCGTGGGGCCCCTCCCTAGGCCCCCGCGGCGACGTTCGCATGCCGGCCCGCGCCTAGATGCCGCCCTGCGCTCATTTCGGCGCGCGTTCCATGCCCCATAGGGGGTCTCAGCCTGGGGCCCCGGTGGTGAAGCTCGCATGGCGCTCCGCCCATCTCGGCGCGCCCCTCGCATTTTCCGCGGACCCATGGGTGGGCTGCGCCTAAAGCCCCAGCGGCGGCGCTCGCGCGCCGCCCCGAACGAGACAGGGCAACTGGCGCAACAGGGCGAGGAGCGCAAACATGTAGCTTGCCGTGGTCCCAGCGGGGCCTAGAGCAGGCCCCCCCAAGAGGCTCCCCAGCGGGGCCCAGTGCATGCCCAGCGGGGAACCTGCCTTGCGGCGAGGGGCGCAAAAGAGGCGCCCGCTGCCGTCCCCCGATGGGTCACTCCAGGGCCTTTTCTTTTCTAATGCATAGAGAATCATTCGCACGCGCAGGCAGTGGAAGGCACACCCAGGAATTGAAGTAGGACGGTGCAGATCACGAGAGATATCTTTCCTTACTCTTCAACCCAGTCCTCATTTACTGTTGTGGGCTTTGGAGACTCTCCTTGACGCAACCTTCAAATGCAGTTCCTGCCGCGAACCCCCCCCAATGGAACATAATATGTGCAAGTAATAGTGTTTAAAGTCGGAGTGCCTTTACCATAGGGTGAGTGCTAGCTAGTCTTTTGAAACATTGAGAGCCCGAGCTGGAGGTATAGGGAGAGAACGAGAGAGAGAGAGAGAGAGAGACAGTGAGGGAGAGAGAGAGAGAGAGAGAGAAAACAAACTAATGGGAGAGAAAGAGAGAGAGAGAGAGACACAACACAACAGAGAGAGCGTGATCCACCGCCGCTTTACTGTGGAAGATTGCCCCCCTCTTCTTCTGGAACCCAGGGGTCCCCCACACACCCTGCTGGACCCCCCCCCCCCTCCCCTCCCCGGCACCCCCCCCCCTCCCCTAACCCCCCCCCCCCCCCCCCCCCCCCCCCACCCTCCACCTCCCCCCCTCCCCTCGAAAACCGGGGGGGGTCACTACCGGTTCGAACCCCCCCCCCTCGAAAACCGGAGGGGGGGGGGTCACTACCGGTTCGAACCCCTCCCCACCCCCCCACTCACCGCCAGCAAACGACTCCCGGTCCCTACCACCGTCCGCGCCACATCCCCCATTGTTGTTCCCAGCACCACTGTCCTCACCACCACTGTCCCCACTGGTTCCACCACCGTCCCTACTGTCCCCACCAGTGCTCCCACCACTGTCGCACTGTCCCCACTGTCCCCACCACTGTTCCCACCACGGTTCCACTCTCCCCACTTTCTCCACGGCCCCAACCACTGCCCGACTATCCCCACTGTCCCCACTGTCCCACTGACTCCTCCGCTGTCCCACTGAGCTGTCCCACTGTTCCCACCACTGTCCCCACTGTCCCCACCACTGTCCCCACTGTACCTCTGTCCCATTGTCCCACCGCCGTCCTCGCCACCGCCTTCACCACTGTCCCCACCACCACTGTACCCTCCACTGTCCCACTGTTTCCACCTCCCCCTGTCCCCACACCGCTGTCCCCACCACCACCGTCCCCACCACTGTCCACTGTCCCCACTGTTCCCACCATTGTCCTCACCACTGTCCCCACCACTACAGTCCCCACCACTGTCCCACTGTCCCCACCACTGTCCCGCTGTCCCCTCACCACTGTCCCCACCACCACCGTCCCACTGTCCGCACCCCCCCTCGGTTTTCGAGAAGTGGTGGGGGGGGTTCGAACCGGTAGTGACCCCCCCGGGTTTTCGAGGGGGGGGCGGGGGGTTCGAACCGGTAGAACTGGGGGGGGGGGGAGGGGTTCGAACCGGTAGTGACCCCCCCCCGGTTTTCCGGAGGGGTGGGGGGAGGGGTTCGAACCGGTAGTGACCCCCCCCGGTTTTCCGCCAGCAGCGGTAGAACACGCTCTTTCACTCTTTCACACAACAAAGCAACACCAAACAAAACCGCAGCCACACTGCACGGGAGCACAGGCGCGAGCGACAGAGAGGCATATAGAGAGGGAGACAGACAGGGAGATAGAAATAGAGACGCAGGGAGAGAGAGAGAGAGAGAGAGAGACAGAGAGCGAGAGAGAGAGAGAGAGAGATAGACGGAAAGAGAAAGAGAGAGAGAGGGACATAGAGAGAGAGAGAGAGAGAGAAACATACAGTCAGACAGACAGTCAGACAGACAGACAGTCAGGGTAGGCAGACACAGACAGTCCGATCGGGACAGGCAAAGAGTCTCACAGGCAAGACAAACAGGCAGACACAGACAGACAGACAGACAGACAGGCAGACAGACAGAAAGACAGACAGACAGATAGACAGGCAGACATATAGATTTGCAAACGGCCTTCTTTGGCAAGAGTGTGCGCGTGCTCCCCCTAGTGTTCGCTTTGAAGTATCTTCGCAAACGATCGGGCGCACCCAGTCTTGCCACACCACGCCCGCTTATTTTTTTCCAGTCCCATCTTGCCGTCCATTCCTGTGTGGGGCCGGCACTGGCGAACTCAGCACATCGAGCACGAATCGGAACCAAAAGCTACAGGAAGCACGGTCGCGCGAGAGCAAAGGATATGGCGCTGCGAGCGAACGCAAGGCGGAGGGAGAGAGGGCAGAGGCGAGCACCAGCCTTGCCAGGCGGCCGACCAGATGGTGGAGCTCCTGGCGGCCTACGACGCTCTGCTCGACGGCGATCTGTCGGACCGCGCGCGCGGAAGCCGCTGCCTCAGAGCTGGTGAGGCCTAGGCACGTTTGCCCTGGTCGGGCGGAGCTGGGGCGCCGCTCAATCTTGACTCCTCCAGGGGAGGGCAGGTCACGAGGGTCCAACTTCCTCTCCTGCCCGAAACCTCTGAGCTCCCTGGGCCTGTCGCAGCCAGCCTGAGGCCAGGCGCAGCTAGAGATGAATGTGCACCCGCGATGCAGTCTTAGGGGCTGCAGTGAGTGGGGGGCAGATGGCTCTTCCTCCTCCTCTTTCTCCTCCTTCTCCTCTTCGCCCCCTCTTCTCCCTTCCTCGGCGCTGAGCCGGGGGCGGCGCGCTGGCCCCGCAGCTCCCGCTCTCGCGCGGGCGGCTACCACCGCCCCCGCGCTCGTCGTCGTCGTCGTCGTCGTCGTCGTTGTCGTCGTCGTCGTCGTCGTCGTCGTCGTCGTCGTCGTCGTCGTCGTCGTCGTCGTCGTCGTGGGTGTTGCTGCGTTCGTTCGTCCGTCGTCGTCTTCGTTTTCGCCGTCGTCGTTCTTGCCGTCGTCGTTCGTCGTTCGTCGTTCGTCTTCGTTTTCGTCGTCGCCGTCGTCGTTGGTGGCTCCTCCTTTCCCTGGACCCCTTGCCCCTCCGCGGGCGCGCGCGAGACCAGCCTGCAGTCCTAGAGTCTAAGAGTCCCTGCCTTCCAGGGTCCATTTCGATTCGATCGATCCGATTCGATGTCGGTTCTGGCCAGCCCGATTCGATTCGATTCCGGCATTCGAACGATCCGATTCGGCCCGATGCTCACTTGGCGCTGTTGTGCGCGGTCCAGGCGGCCCTGCAGATTCTGGATCTTTCTTCGATGCGCTGCGGCCCCCGGCTCTCGATCGCCGAGACCAGCTTTGGTTTGGTTCAGGGGACATCCTCGCTTTGTGAGAAAGGACAGTCAATCTGCATAGTAAGGATGGTCAACCTTCCCAAGGGTACCCTTGCATCCTTGCCTCCTCGGTCCATCCTTCGCCACTTTCGCTGGCCGCGCCCCGCTCGAAGAAGCTTCGAGATGGCCTTCCAAGGCCCTTGCATCCTTACCGCGCATCCCTATCATACGGGCAGACTGTAGCGTCTTGGGAGAAACTCCCCCCGGGCTCGCCGCCGAAAGACGCTGAAGTACGGACCCGTCTGTGCTCAGGAGGGCCTCTGGTTTTCGGACCCCTCCTCAGATCCACGTCGAGGAATTTACTCGCCGAGGCCCGTCTTGGCCAGAGCAGCCACTTGTCTGGCGTTCCGTCTGGCGGGGCGATGGCCGTGGGCCTTCCGCGCTCCAGCGCTTGCCTCGATGGTCTCCGGCGCAGCACGGCCCGCGCACTCTCTTCGAGGCCGAGCTCCTCGAGGCTGCGGCAGGACCTTCCATCTAGGCCTCCCAGATGGGGTCGGAGTAGATGAGGTCGGAGGATCGCGCCGCATCACCGATGCATCGCCGATGCGGCTCGATGTGCAGCCCGATTTTCTTCACGCCGACGTCGCCGATGCATCGCCCGCGTTGACGATGCATCGCTGGTGCATCGCCGATGCATCGCCAATGTATCGCCGATGTATCGGCGATGCGGCGCCATCCCCCGACCCCATCTACTCCGGCCCCATCTGGGAGGCCTCCACTCCATGCCTCGGAGGCGCGGCCCTCCCCCAGAGTTCGGGACCGTGGTGGCCCTGGGAGGCGCAGACACGGCGCACAGGCAGCCCCCCCCCCCTCCCCGGTGGTCCGCGCTGGCCTCAGCGGGCCCCCCGAGCAGTCCTGGCTGGCCTCAGCAGCCCCCTCCCCGAGCAGTCCAGGGCGGTCTTGACACCCCGCTCCCTGGGGCGCGGAGCGCCCAAGGGGCGCCGCCGGCTGCCTGTTGAGGCCAGCTCGGACTGCCTGGGGGGGCTGGCTCTGCGCAGCCCGAAGCCTTACTACACGGACTAAGGCGCGTGGATTAGCGTCAAGTCGGGCCTGTCCCTCCACAGGGGGGATGTTCAAAAATAGTCAAAAAATGTCGGGGGACGTTTTTCTGACTATTTGTGAGCATTTAGGAGTATTTTGGGGTATTTCTTATTTTCCGTCCAAAGTCCGCCTGGAGTGCGACATGCCCGACCTAAGATTAGCGACGGGCCCCGATTCCGTACGGAGTCGGCGCGCTCCGCCGCCAGAGCAGGCGGCATTGGTGCTTCGCGCCTCGGGGGCGCCTTCGTTGATGCGTGCACTGGGCGCCCACGCGCCAGAGCCACGCATCCGGAGTCCATGGTCAGGGTGTGCCCGAGTGGTGCCCGCGATGCGGGACGCTTTCAGAGTGCTCCGGAGCGCTCCGAGAAGGCCGTGGCGCCCGGGACGTCCTCCCGAACCGCCGGATTTTTCAGAGATTCTCGATTGGTCCTCACCCGAATTTCTCCTCGTCCTGGCTTCGTCGGTCCGCGCTCTCTCTTCTCGTGCCCCTCGTGGCGCTGCCTCCATCCCTCCCGTCCTCTGGGCCGAGGCCGGGTGGCCCACAGCTGCGAGGCGTTCACGGTCGAGGACCGCGCGAGCCCCGCGCGGGGAGGCACCCTGGGCAGGTGGCTAGGCGGGAGCAGCGGGAGGAGGAGGAAATGGAGGAGGAGGAGGAGGAGGAGGAGGAGGAGGAGGAGGAGGAGGAGGAGGAGGAGGAGGAGGAGGAGGAGGAGGAGGAGGAGGAGGAGGAGGAGGAGGAGGAGGAGGAGGAGGAGCCCGCCCTCGCGCGCTTCAAACGCGCTCACGGCCCTCCCTGTGGTGCCAGGCCACCTGGTTGGGGGTGTGCATGGGTTCGAGGAAGAACATCGCCAGTATAAGCACAAACGTTCGAGGGTCCGCGCGGTTTTCTTGGACTGGCACTGGGCCCCCCAGGCGGCGCCTCCAGCGCTGCCCCTGGCGCGCTCCGCGCGCCAAATAGGGGGGGTTCCAGCGCCGATCAAAGGAACCCGCGTGAACCCTGGAACGCGTATGCTTCTGCCGCATACCGTTTTTCCTTTCTTTTGGGGGTGGGTGGGAGCGAGGGGGGGGGCCTGCCAGAGGAGGGGCTTGTGCAGGCGCAGCTGCGGGTGCTTGAGGAGGGGGTTGGGACCGAGGGGGGGGGCTGCCAGAAGAGAGAGGTGTGCAGGCGTAGCTTTGGGTGCGAGGAGGGGGGGGGCGCGGCCAGAGCCGAGACGCGCTGGCGCAGGAGCTCGCGGCCGACGGCAAGCACGACGTGCACGCATTCAGGATCTGACCCTGCTGCGGGCCGCCTCCTCTCGTATCCACTCCGCCTCCCGTGTTGTTGCTCCTTTCTCCCTGCTCGTCTCCCCAGTGTATCCTCCTCGTTCATGTGCCCCTCTTCTTACTATTCGGGCCGAACTTCCGTACAATGGCCGAAAGTCCGTCTAAACGGTGCTCTCGCCTCGGCGCGGGCAGCACACCGCCAGCGTCACCTGCACGCCGTGGCCAGTTTGAGAGCGAATCGTGAGGATGTCTCAGTATCAACCCCTCGCACTGGGGGTTGCGAAAGGTGCCCCTGGCCCAAGGTGCCCCTGGCTTTTCGCTCGATGCTGGAGCTCCCAGGCCCTCTGGGCCTCGTGATGGGGTGCTCTGGAGGTCATGGGGGCCTCCTCGGAAATCCTGGGGGCACCTCTGGCCGGGGGCACTTCCAGCAGCGCCCGATCGCCCCCCTCTTCACTCCCACCTCTTATCACGCTGCCTCCTCTCCTGCAGTCGAGACGCCGAAATCAGGACCGCCTCGGGCTCGGGAGGGGCTCTACTCTTCGGGTCCGCTCCTCAGATCTAGGTCGGGGAATATCGACTCGCGGCCGAGGCTAGCCGTGACTCGAAGAGCCTGTCCGCTCCTCACTCGGCGTTCCGAAAAGCCTGTCGGCGCCTTATTCAGCACGATGACGGTATTCGTCTCTCCATGTTTCTTCCTCGTTCATTCTTCCTCTTTCTTATCACTCCCTCGCCCCTTTTGTCGCTCCCCTGCCTTTTTTTTGCTCTCTCTCTCTCTCGCTCTCCCCCTCCCCCGTGCCCCCGCTTTCTGTTTCTGCTGCTTCTTGCTCTGATGGGGCCAGTCGCCGGGCAGCCGCGGCACACGGCGCCGCGCACGCGGTGCCGCGCGCACGGCCCATGGCACGCGGCATGTGTTGACACGCGCACGGCACCACGACGGCCTGCTCACGCACACGGCACGCCAAGCACCACGCGCACGGCGCCACACAGTGGACCGAGCGCATGGCACGCGCCGCGGCGCACGTGGCCCCGCGCACGGCCCCGTGCAGAAAGACTGGCGCGCACGGCACCACACACCCGACATCACGAGCATGGCACCTTGCGCACGGCGCACGGTCTTGTGCACATGGCAGCACGGACACGGCCCCACGCATGGGGCAGAACTCAGTCCGCACGCGGCACGTTGCACACGACACCACGAATTCGGCAACGCACCATGCATACGGCACCACGCACACGGAACACTGCATTGCACCGTGCGCAGGGCACAGGGCTTGACGTTCGCGGGAATCAGAATTTTGTGGGCAGCGACCCGTCCGTGGCGAAATATGCTGGGACCCCCGATCAGCATTCGTTATTTAGAGTCTAGTGCTTGAGCCATTGTGCCATCATTGAAGCTGCCAAACTTGCTTTAGCCCCGTTTGAGTTCCATGTGTTTTAAGCCATTGCTGCTTATACACATCATCATCGTTTTTCCTTCTTTTCCGCATTCCCTTTCTTCTTCCAAAGCTGGATCCTCCTCCTCTTCCTCTTTCCTCGTCTCCTCCGCGTTCTTCTCTTCTGCCTTTCTTCCCTCTCCTCATCTCGCTTAGCCCAGTCCCCTAAACTGTGTTTATACTTGCGCTGCTGTGCAACGCCTGGTGATTGCTAACTGTACGCTTTTCATTTGTTTGTCAGTTGTCGTAGCCAGGTGATTGCGTGCAACGCCAGTCGTTGCTGTGCAACGCCTGGTGATTGCTAACTGTCACGCTTCCGTAGCCATTTTTAGCTTAAGCCATCTTGGTCAAGGCTGCAAGGGGCTGCCACATGGACGCGTGTTGAATATTAAGTTTTGCGTTTTTGCTCAGCAATCCAGTAGCAGATGCTCCTCCTTTGCATCGTCGCCGTTGTCCTTGGCATGCTGCTCTTATGACACAGATCCGCGCTGGGTTTGGACGTGCGTTGGTGTCAGGAGGGGGCTATATGCATGCATTGCTAGTGCCAGAAGGGCGGCATTGGCTTGTAATAGGCTCTTCCTGCAGACGCTGTTCTGTTGGACCTCACCCGTGGGATGCGATTGAACGTCGATGCCAGCGTCTTGAGTCGTTTCTGAAGCGCTTGATTCGGCCACCATGTCAGAGCTTCGTCGTAGATGGGAAGGTGTATTCATTACCCGTCCGCGCTCAGGACCAGTCTGATGATAGCGAACATGTTCCGAACGCAGTCTTAGATTATTTCGCAGGATTCTTTGACGGAGACGGTTGCGTGACTGCAGATCGAAGCTTTAACAATCGAATGCTGCAGATCCACCAAGCTGAACGTAATGTTGCAGTGTTAGTTAAGTTTATGAATTAGTTTGGTGGTGGTATCTACAAGAGGGCCTCTGTGAAAGGGAGTCACCAGTATTCTTTTTCATGGAGGCTAAACGGCAAGAGAGCGAGGGTTGCTGCGTCATTGCTCATAAGAGCGTCTTTGGTGAAGCGTGAACAGCTTGGCCTTTTAGTTTCTGAGGCGCCAACTTGGCCATTACACCGTGGTAGGCTTGCGAGCACCCTGCGTAATCTGAAACATGGCGCTCCTGGCCCGTGTCATGATGTCAGCTGGGGTTAGGTTGCCGGATTTTTTGACGCGGAGGGATGTATCGGAATCAAACCATGTGAGGCGCAATTAATTTTGACTACATCCCAGAAGTACCAGGATCCACTAGTTGGTATTAAAGCGTTGATAGAACGAACCTTCCCAGGTGTCAATGCGAGCCTCACGCAGACTAGGAGGGGATACTACAATCTTTGCGTGACCAGAACAGCGCCATCTTTTGCAGTGCTGCAGCAATTGCTGGATTCGGGCCTCGCAGGAAAACAACAGCAGGCTATGTTGGCCATGTCCCTGACTCGAAATAATTGCGGACGCATTCGCGATAGTTTATCCAAGTTGAAAGGGAACCAGTCTCGTGGGAAGTTCCTCGACGCAGCAGGGTACGAGAGAGCCTTGGACATACATAATGTACGATCCCGTTTGTACCGTCGTCCTGGTCAAGATACAGCTGGCAGTGACTTTGCGTCTTAGCAGGGTGAGTTGTATACGATTAAAAGCGAGCACAAGCTACGGAATGCTAAACGGCGTCTCGCGTTGCTTCGTTTGGATATTCGGTCCCTTTTGCGTCAGGGTGCTAGGCTGTCCGCGGGCTGACTTTTGGTGCTGAGAAACAGCTGCTTTTCAGTCGTCGTCTTGTTCATGTTTAAGTATTGTGTACATCTGCCTACTCGCAATCGTTGCCGTAGTCGTATCAGGACCAGTGTATGTAGCTGTAGCAATAGTAAAAGTAGTGGTCGTAACTAATGTATTGCTTCGTAACTTGTGAACTTGCTTATCAGTGCTGCAGCTGGCACCAGGGTTATGTTCGTTTGGCAAGGTTCCGGCTGTTATCGTTTTCTGTGTTTTCGTGGATGCACTTGTTTGTTTGAAGTTGTTTATATAAACGCAATGATATATGCGTAAGATTAAAAGGAATGCTGAGCTTGATCAGAGGCTCCTTTGTCACTTGAAGGAGGGGGATGAGGGATATCAGAAGGTGGATGTAGCGGCTTGAGAACCGTTACAAAACCAACATGATGCCAGCGCGTGGTCCCCAAACAGTACGGGCTCTTGCATTCCTGGTGCGCAATCTGTGCTCTACAGCTAGTGCATTGGGTAAGTTTTGCGTACCAATCTATTCGGTGTAATATATGGAACTAATAGGCATGGCGCAAGGATGGCTGCTGTGAAATACGCGTAATGCAGGCTACGTGGTGCAACCTGTGGCGTGCAACGTGTGAAATCCAGTGTCCGTGGTGCAGCTTATATGGTGCGTTGCATGTGCTTCACCACTTGGCATCACATGGCACCAAGGGCGCCCACCATAGAGCACCGTTGGCTACCATAGGGTACTAAGGGGGTACGCGGGCACACGAGCCGACGCACAGGGCACCATGGAGTACCGAGGAAGTCCACAACGGTGCAGGCATGTGCAGTTGAGTCTAGTTCAGCGTCAGAGGGAGCAAACGCTTCGACCGCAGGGGCGTTTTGATGGGTGACTCGCCCGCAGGGGCGACGCACGGCGCTGTTGTTGCCGAAACGGCGGCGCGCGGCAACGTGGATGAGCGAGATGGCCGCGGACGCTCGGTCACACCCAGAGGCCGCAAGCGAGCCTCTTATACTGTCTCGGGGCCATATTGTGTCAGCTAGGGGCCATCTCGGCCGTCTGTGGAGCGTCTTCGATGCCACCTTGGATAGCCTAGAGGGCCGTCTTGGAGGCCGTCTCGCCCACCTCGGCCGCCTTTGGCTTTCCTGCCGGCGCAGTTCGGGCGCTCTGCGCGGGGGCAGCGACGGAGGAAGGGCTCGTGGGAGCCTGTGAGAAGGACCGGCAGTCTGTCCAGAGCTTGGCACGGTGGGCGCCCCTGCTGTGGCGGCGGATCGAGGACTCCGGCTGTGCATCACCAGCCGCTCCCTGGGAGTTTGGCGAAGGGGCGTGCAGCATCGAAAGCCGTGGCGCGGCGCAGATGCCAGCTGTCCTTATATTGAATCGTTTCGCTCATTGGCCGATATTGCATCACTGGTGCTAGATGTTTGTGTGATCGTGGCGAGTGAGCGAGCGAGCGAGCGAGCAAGCGAGCGAGGAGGAGGAGGAGGAAGAGGAGGAGGAGGAGGAGGAGGAGGAGGAGGACAAGGGGGGGATGAGGATGAGGAGGCGGAGGCCTCCCGATTGCTTCTTGTGGCATTATGTGGCCACGCTTGGTCGTGGACAAGACGCCGCTTTGGGAGGATCTTTCGGGGAAGGGTTCGAAGTCTCAGCTCGGGTTCCGTCGCTTGACGCTTTCGACAGTAGCGGCAGACCGTTGGAATAATTCCGCAATCGGAACACGGGCTCGTCAGCAGAACGCGAGGCCCGTTAGCGGAACAGGGTGGCCCCGCAGGGGAACAGGGGACGTGCACCTCGGGCGAACACCTGGCGACCGTTGGCCGAACTCGTTGGCCTCACCTCTGGTGCT